CTTAAGTTGACTTTTGAAGCTGTTTCAGCCAGATCTGTCGGAAGCGGAGTGAAATTTTTATTCTACAAAATAAACTTTCAAAAAAGTCTCAAATACTTATTTTAAGTGAAGTGAAATAGGTGCAATGTAATTTTAAATTTATTTACTTCTATGTTTTTGCCGAAGTGTTCAGTTTATAGTACGGGCATTGTACATTATTATTTAAGACTGGTAGCGAAAACGCTATCTTATTATTTATATTTTGCATGTCATTATCTAACCCATCTGGGTATTACCTATCAAAGTATTTTTTAAGACTGGTAGCAAATACGCTATCTTATTATTTACATTTTAAGTTAGCCAATGATTTGGCTACCTTGACACCTGCTTCTGTTAAGCAGCAAAATAATTTTACATTTGATTTCGGATCAGTTCTTAGTAATTCGTTCCTAATAAGATAATAATTCAACAAAGGTAATCTCCAGCAAAGATAATTTAAATACTTTGAATACAACTCACCAATACCATACTGTGTAATTTCACAAAATAGCAATAATATACAAAATATACAAGGTACATATATTACGACCATGTATCAGAATACCGCACTAAGCTCAAGTGGCTTCCAATCCGTCTTCGTTGGAATACTCATATCCTTTCTGCTCTCTACTGCGTTTTATTTAATATATCAAGTCCTCCTTACCTTAAAGGACGTTTCCAATTTCTCAACTCCTCTCACAAACTTTCCCTTCGATCCTTAGAAAACCTTTCCCTTCTATGTCCCTTGCACTCTTCTACATTTTACAGTAAATCTTCTTCAGTCCTTGGAGTTAAGCTTTGGAATTCCTTACTATCAACTATAAAACGTGCTCAAACAATAGACTCCTTTAAAAACCAAGTTAAAAAACATTGTCTTTCCTTCTAAATCATCCCTCCTCCTTTTATCTATTCCTGTCGTTTTATGATCACTAGTCTGTCAATTAAGTAAATTCCGGCATGTTTGTTTATTAATTTACTTTTATATTTATAGATTACAATATTATTTATAGTGCACTCTACCCATTACTTAACTTTTCACCTATTTTTATTACCTATTTAGGTTGTCTGGAAGAAATTGCTGCATAGCAATAAGACCGCCTTTTGTTTTTCTCTTTGTTAGTTTCTTGTTATGTTGTATTTTTTAGTGTTCAATAAAGAGTATTGTAGTGTATTGTATTAGGCAAAGAACATTAGGGAAGAAATTGAATTATTTTTAAACAGTACCAATACACATACTTTATATATTACTGAACATTGGTAGTCAGATTACAATTCCATATTTAATTTCAGTAATCACCAGGTGGTCAGTTCTTTCAATAGAGATACTAAATTTATTGGTGACTCCTTAATATTAGCTAATAAATTCATATCATGTAAAGAACATAAAGATATAGTGTGACTCTGTTGAGCGAACTGTAGAAATTGCATGTGTTGAGTTTGAGCACATCATTGGCGTCGGTGTTTACAGACCCCCATATTATTCAAGTTATGATACATTTGAAAAAATATGGAACAAGCTTAACAAACATAATAAATCACTTGTAGTATACATATGTAGACTTTAATATCAGTCTCCTGGAAGCTTCTTTCATCAGTATTAAATTTTTCACATTGTTGAAATCCTACAATCTTGATAATGTATTCTTTGAAGCTACACGTACTGCAGGGTGTAGAGCAACTTATATTGATAATATTTTTAGGAAATATTAGGACATGAATAACTATTTTAAAAATTTCTCCTTCTATCTGTCTGTCAGTTCCAGTTAACCTTAGGAATGGTTGAGGCGATAGTAAATAAACTTCACGAACAGACAGAGAGCGATGCCGCGAGTGATCTAGGATCAATTTTACCCGAAAACCTTAAAATATACGAGCTTTGATTATCTTACACCTAAATAACACCATGTTTATTTATAGATTCTACCCAGGCCAGGGCGGGTCGCTAGTAAGATAGATAAAGTCAGGCATGCGAAAATATTTAAAAAAAAATTATGATGATAAGAGCTTGAGACGTCTTTTCCTCCGTTACCGTTACAGCACATTGAAGGTACTAACTGGTGATATAACGCTTGCTCAGCGTGGTGATGATGGCAACCATGACCAGCACTGGACTGCTTACGCTCTTCAGACAAACAATGACATATACAACAAACGCTACAAGTAACTCCAAAAACGTACTCAACCTCTTAACACGCTCTCCAGTACACACCTTTAATTTATATTTCTACCTTTATTAGCCTATAAAAAAACCATCGTTGGATGCAGACATGCACCTATAAAAAGGTTGGCTGCAAATATAATTTTAGACGTATATGTTTATGTAATGTGTGTTCTTACATTTGGTTCGGTTTCGCCGTTACTTGTATTACGCGTGAACAATAGCAAGGAGCTCGTGTGGAATGTGACGCCCCCGTCTCACATAAATCAATGCCCTGTCTCCTCCACGTTGCAACTCCCCGTGTGCACTATTGTTTGTACAGCGATCAACGAAGATATGTACATTATATTTGTAAGTCTCGTTAGATTAGATCACGACACAAGACGACGCGCTCCGCTTTTCGTTCTTGTAACTTTATGTACACTGTACAAGCACATGAATAAAGCAAGTGACGTCATCGGACTTAGATCTCATGTTATTATGGAAGAGTAGTACGTACGTAGTGTTCGGTCTATCTTTTATTGTTGGTCTAAGTTATGTGCAGATAATAAAGTCGGAATAGGAAGATTAAACACAGAGATTTTGCAATATAAAAGCAACAGTCGCTTAGTTTCTACTTAAGTGTTTTGAGGCGTGTTTCGTCTAGGTATTTTGTCAACTATCAGTAACTGTGGAGTACTTTACAAAGGAAACTTATTTATCGGTTCTTTGAAACAAACGACTGCTATAAGCTCCAACTTCAAAAGTTGACTTTTGAAGCTGTTTCAGTGGAGTGAAATTTTTATTCCGTAAAATAAACCTTAACATTTTACATATACAGTTTAAAATTGCCTTAAGAGGACTACAAGAGCCAAGTGACCTCGAAAGATGCACGCACACAATTACACATTCCATGTGAGCGCCATCTAACGACAGTGAGGTTTAACACTAACGGATTAGCGAGGTTACGCCGGAGTGTTAGACGAAACGCAGGTAGGATAAAGATCTAACAAAGAAATAGATGGGACAACGAAATTATTTTTAATTTTAATTTAATGTTGCTTGAAAATTTAAGGATGTGGGCGATTTTGAAATAAAACTGATTCGATGAAACTTAAAACATTTTTATTTATATAATAATAGTAATAAACTTTATTTATATAAAAGTGATTGTAGTACATGGGTAGGACATTACATCGTATGTACTATCTATAAAATATTATATTCAATCTAGTGGATGTTCTCCTAGCTAGGTTAAAGGATAACCTGTGTTAAGGAGTAACAGTCTCAATCCCTGTAATAGTAGGTATATAATAAGTACATACTTACAGGTGTAAGTGCTACAATGATAACAAAATCTAGTTTTCAAATTATTAAATATAAAATTGAGAAATATATGTATATATATGTGTATCTGTGTGTGAGTGTGTGTTTGTCTGCGTGTGTATGTGTGTGTTTTTCCGCCAAATTTGACGACGGAACAAACACTTTACGAACACTTGCAAAGAACATGGTATCTCATACTGCAGCAAGACATTGAAAATTTAATTTTAAGTATAAACAATCGATGTCGATGTGTAATTAAATAAGAGGTGCCAACACTGATTATTAATTATTAGATTTTATAAGATTTTTTCAATTTTAATTACAAATACTAGTTTTATAAGAAGATATGAAGTTTTTTTATCATACAAATTTTATACGCTGATTAAAAAAATTTAAATTTTTATTTAAAACAAAAAAAATACGAAATGTTTTTATTTTATATTAGAGAACTTAAAATAACATATAATTTTTCCATTTACTATATCTGAAAATTCTTCATAGATTTTTAGATATTCGATGAAATATAAAATATCCCTAGATTCTGTTGATGTGTTTATATACGTATATATACAATTATTAAATAAATGTGTTATAAAATAATTTTCATTTATTTTTGTTCCTAAAATCTACTAAAATGTAAGTAACGTGTAGACGTTGATATTTGTTGTGAATAATTTTCGTCATAATTTTGGATTGGCATAATTTTGTCGTTATCTTTATCTTTGCTTTCGCTTTTTTCTTTCTTTTCGATTTTACCCCTGTTTTCGATTTTGTCTTTGTTTTCACTTTTGTCGTTCTTTTCACTTTTGTCTTGGCCGTATTTTTATTTTTTATGTATGGTTCATGAATTGTCATATTTCTTGACATTCGGGGATCAAGTATCTCAGGTAATATGCAGTCGAAATAGAATTTTGATAGTTTTTCTTTCATTTCTTTTTCCCAAAAAATTATCATCTCGTTTAATTATTTCCGTCTTTAGCTTTTCTTTTTCATTCTCCCATACGGCAAATAGGCAATATTTTCTTTGAGTCACGTGTAGCTGCCCTTGGCTTGGTAATACCAAGCATGTTTTTTGTTAATGACAAATTTACCTGTTTTTGTTTTTTGCCAGAAGTTAACTTTTTTCTTTTCAATTGCTGCTGCAATGCCCATTGTATTAGCTGTCAAAGGACACTTTACTTCAACCACAGTATGTTCTCCAGTTAATCCATCAGGCGTTGCACCCAAGAAACATAATTCTTGGTCTATAAATAAACCACAGGGTCTAATGGTTATATGTTCTTGTACAGCCAATTGTGCCAGGGCGGTTTTTTCATTTTGTTGGCCATGGCTTATGGAATCTACGTGATCAATTTTTTTTCGGTAAAGTATATCTTTTACTAAATTAGCACATGGTGTATTAGTACGCCTTTTTATAACCCTGGCGAAATTGGATGCAGTCAATAAAGATCTTCTCATCTCAAGCCATTCTCCATTAGCACTTTGTAAAATAGTTTTTCTTTCAATTATTGCTCGCTCCTCATCCGTCTTTTTTTAAAGATTTCATGAAATCGTTTTTCATTTTATCCAGTACTTCTACCGGCATATCAGGTTTTTCACATGACTGGCCATAATCCTTATCACTGCATTTTTGGCTGAAAACTAGTCGTCTTTTCTTTTTTGTATACCTTTTACTTAGTACTTTTTGTTTACGTTTTCTTTCTTCCCACATCTTCAGCTTACCTCTTGGGCTTTTGTTGGTCATTTTCTTATGTAGTTTTGACAGTGAATTTTCTTTATTGAACGACCCTGCTGAAGCAATACATCGCGTCTCATACGAATTTTTGAGGGAAAAGTTAACTCTCTTCCCTCCTACATATTTCGCAATGATGCTGTGATAGCGTTCCACCACGTTGCTGTCCACGTCATGAAGTAAACTTCGAGCATGGCTGGCAATACCTAGAATCATAATACAGATTCTCTGCCACAGAGAACTTAGCTTAAAATCACTTGGAATATCATTTTGCTCCACATTTCCTGTTTTATCACAGAAATGTTTTTTGCATTCAAGGTGATTTCCAAAAGCATGATGATGTGCTTGCAAAATGTCATCAAATAAATATTGCTCTTCTGGGTAGGGATCATTTTTGTTCTTTTTAATTGCTTTTTTTATGCGGGATCTCATAGTCATGATTCTTGATGTTGTTGAACAGTTTTCTGTGACTTTTAAAATATTTAGTTTCGGTTTGAAGTGATTGCATCTTATTACAAAAATTCCTCAGTAAATGATTTCTGCATTCAACCTTCTCAACTGTAATATCTTGATATGGTCTTACTTGCAAAATTTTGGAATAAGTGCTTGAGTCACCGTCAGATATGAGTCTTCCATATATCAGACCGTGGGTAGCCAAAGATTGTTTAAAACCTTCCACAATAATTTCACTCTCCATTCCTGTGGACGGACCGGTATAGTTTTTAGAGCAGAAATGCTCAGGAATTGTTTTTTTATTCTTCGCAGCACGATCACAATGGTAGCAGTATTTGTTTCGCACTCCCATATACAAAATTTTGCCTAATTAAAAAGTTATTTAAAGAATTAAAAATAATATTGCCTATAATTGCGGCAGCACCGGATAAAGCCGAATAATTTTTTTGTATGACCTTTTACCATACACACCGTCTGCTATCACATCTATGATTGGCGTGCTATTTTTAGTGACTCTGCCTTCTGCTATAGCCATATTCCTCTCTTCTTCAGCTGCTTGGTCCATGGACTGTTGTGCAAGTTGCTGCCAGTTCTCAGACAACAATTTGTGGTTCTTTTGGTAAGTTTTTTGAGACATTATTGGTAAATTCATGGCGGATGAAAATTCTTGTAACTGAGAATAACCACACCCGATTGAAATGGCGCCAGTTACAGCACATGTATTAATATTTAAAAAATTATCACCGTCGTTATCGATCACAAATTGTCGTTTACACATTTTGCATGAAAAAGTAAATTTGGAAGATAAACCGTGAATCTTTTCGCCAACTAATTCGATACAAGATAGTCCGCAGTCTAATGGTCCGTGATTTGAGATCTCATTTATCTTTTCCAAAAAAATGGGAAACGTTAATAATTCTCCGTCCAATTTGGATGTTCTTCTTAGAAGTATAGTTTTCCATCTGAAAAATAAATGAATATGAATACTAATTTTTTGATAAATAAGATAAATATTTGTTCGTATAAAACATTGAAATTTAAACCTAAAAGAATTCTATGTAACGATGTATTCTTTATAAAAAAAGTGAAAAACTTACTTCTATACTGTAATTTAATACATCTGTTTCTTGGTTTTTAGGTTGGACATCAAATTGCCTTTCAGGAGTACTAGCCACCTAAAATTCCATTATTCCAATATTATTTTCAAAATTAATTTTAAAAGTAAACGTGTTTGTGGCAAGGTTATGTTACATTACAACGTGCGGCTGATGTTATGAATATTACCTGTGTACTATAGGCTTCTTCCAGTACATGCTTCGGTGGATAATATTTACTTATATCAATAACCCCACAATGAAGATTTTCTTGTGGTACTGTTTCCAGTCTATGGAAAAAATTAAATATTTTAAATTATGTAGATATGTCCATTCTAAATATTCTAGCTCTATGGTTCACAAGATAGGTAATAAAAATTTGTATTTCGTTTATTTTTTGTATTTGCCTTTGAAAAATTGTTAAGCTATAAGTAAAATACCTAACATTCATACATAATTATAATTCCTAATTATAAACAAAGTCACTAAACCTAAACTCCTACATATGATAAGTAAAATCGCAATTTTCAAATGATTCTGTCATTTCGTCATGCCCTTTTGTTATTTATCAATAAGCCGCAGTCTTTTAACAAAAACAATAGGTATTTTAAGTTTTTTTGTTGTTATTATAAGAAAGAAAAGTTGTATTTACTTACACATTGGAAATACTAACTTCTGTGTTGATATTTTCAACTTTCTTTCTCCTGTAAAAAATCGTTACATTTCAAACGATTTTTTTAGTTATTATTTAAAAAAAGTAATTAATAAGTTTATTTAAATATGTAATAAAAAAGAAATAAAAAAAAATAAATAAATAAAAAAGAAAATTTGACATCATATTTCTGGAATCGAACCCGTGCTCTCTCTCGAGTGCAAACTACAAATATAGGTTTATTGTTATAAAAATAAATATGTATTTTTTAGTTATAATTTATAAAAGCATTTAATAAATTTATCTAAATATATAACATTAAATAGAAAAGAAAAATGAAAATATGGCTTCATATTCCTGGAATCGAACCCAGGTACTCTCGAGTGCAAACTGCAAATCCGTACACTAAAAAATGCACTACTGTAATACACTACGTTTCCTAAATTCATAGATTTATTGTTATAAAAATAAATATATATTGTTATAGTTAATATTTATAAAATATTTTTAAATTTATCAAAATACATATAAAAGTTTTAAATTAAATTTGACTTCATATTCCTCGAATCGAACCCAGGTACTCAGGTATACACTACGTTTCCAAATCATAAGTTTATTGTTATAAAAATAAACATTTAGTAAAAATAAAATGTTCTTACCTTTTAATATCGTTCATATCATAGTTAAAACACTATTACGTTAATATGTTGCTTGTAGAATAATCTGACAAAAACTCAAAATAATTGCATGTATATTATTATGGTTTTTACTCGATAAAACTAATTTTTAGAGGTATCTTTATGATTTTTTTTCTATCGTATCAAATTAGTAGTATCATGTTTTTAACACAGTATCTAACTAGCATATATACTAAAAAATATCATATATTTTTCTTATTTAGTTTACTGCATTGGATCATATACTTTAAGTCAATATAAAACTTGCGTTTAGCTCCTGTAGTCCCCTTAATATTTATAAAGTCTCAAATATTTATTTTAAGTTGGGTAAAATATGTGCAACGTAATGTTAAATTTATTTACTTATATATGTTTGCTGAATGGTTCATTTTATCGTACGGGCATTGTATTTGTTCATTTTAAAGTAAATATTTCTCTCGTCTCTATATTTTGTCTGACAATACAAACACGTAAATATCTTTAATCGTATTAACATAAACACATTACAGCATTATTGAAATAAATTTAAACTATTATCTAGGTATGTATTATATGTGGTAGAGCCATGCTGCAGTTAAATTAGAAGTATAGTTGTAGCACGAATGTGTCGGCTCGACCGGGGAAGGACCACGCTTTCTCAGAATACCAGCGTAAAATAGTAGCTTAATGCTGCTGTGTTTCATATGGTGAGTGTAGAGAACCGGAGACCCTTTTTACTGGAAACAAGGAATTCCATCTTAGTCCTCACGGGTGACAACGCATCTGCATTTTGATTCGTAATCGAGGATAGATGTTAGATGTCTATGGGCCACAGCAACCACTTACCATCAGGTGGACTGTGTGCTTATTTGTTACTCAATACTATAAAAAAATGAATAATATAATTTATGTTTATATCAATAATTCTTACATTAATTATGGAGAAAGTATTTTTTAGCTTTAAATAATACTGTTTTTAAGCTTTATATAAAAGGCGCCAGGTTAGTCCTATTCTACATTATTTACATAATAACGTATAATAACTACATTGCTAGGCAGTTGTGGACTATTATTTAAAACTAAAAAAAATAATTAATGTAAAACTTATTGATATAAACATAATTTTGATATAAAGGACATAAATAAAATGGTTATTCGTGTCTTAATGGCATGCAAATTATCCCGTCAGCTCAATTAAAGGCAGCTATTTCCCTATTTTTATTTATTTGTTAGGAAGCCAACATGATATTGTACAAAAAAAAATGTTTACACCAATAATTGATAAATCTGAAGTTTAGTACATATCAATGATATGATGTACTTAAAGGCTAACTTAACATGTTAATGCAGATGTACACTTCAATTTTATTTATATGTGTATCTTTCGCTAAGAAAAGAGCTTATAACGACGATGAAGGGACCGGTGTAATTTCGTCACTATATCCGGAAGTTGCTATACCCATAGGTAGGAGTGGAGACGACAGAAAACTTGACATTCAGAAAGCAAAAAATTATATTTATTGTCAAATAATACTTTTTTAAATATTTTTTTCGAAGAATTGCATAATTTCAGAGCGGTTTTTCCACATCGTTGACACTGTGTTTAATATTTAATGCAAAAGTTAATATTGTTTTATCAAGTGTCGAAGTAACATTTATTTTTCCTTGCGTTCTTCTAACGGGTGCTATAATGAGCAAAGGATTTAACATATCAAGAATTACTGAGTAAATAATTTTAAACCTATTATCACGTTCACAGAGTATATATTCGGTCGTAACACCTGCAAGAGATTTCAGGGAATTTCTTATGAATGACCCATTAAAACTGGTCGCTACACCCATAATTGTTGTAATATCCGAAGTCGCTGTAACCGAACCATTCTCTATCAAAAGTAAACGTTAGATTCAAGGGACTTTAAAGTAACGTCGTTATAACTGAAAAAAAAAGTCAAAAAAGTCATTAAAACCGGAGTCTTTATTAATACAATCCACTGTACTACGTGTTTAAGGATTTTTAGATACACAACATATAAGGGAGAAATAGGAAATGAAAGCTATTTCAAATTGTCAATTAATTTAATGTAGTTTTTAATCAATATATTCCATATTGTAAGCCAACCCACCTTGACACAAAGACCAAATATAATAAATAAAGAAGGTACAATAGATGGTCTAATCGCTCTTTAAGCAATTTTTTACTGACAACCATATCAAGTAAAGAATTGTTAACAACGAATGGCTTGGAAGGAAGTGTATATAAATGATATAATACAATAAATATGAAGTTTTATTAAATAAAATTGAAAACATAAAATAGAAATAAATGAGTAAAGTAGAATAGATACGGGTACAGGAAAGGACGGAGTGTACGATGGGAAATATTAACATTTCCAAGTAAGTTAGCCCGGAGTAGGTTAGCAAGGAGTTTCTCAAGCTTACAGCTGTAACAGAAAATAATTTATTAAAGAAGGAGGATAAATTTTACAAGATAGCGAAGTGAAAGATTGTTAGGGCGGTTTTTACTATTCGAAAGGCTTTGTGAAATTTTGGCGCAAACCTATACAGGATACAGGATACCTATATAGGATACAATTAAAAACTAATCACTCAATAGATATACCCGTACATACATACAAAGATTTTTTAATTTGATTACCAGTATTAACATCTAAAATTATGCTCTGAGATGAAAATATTTCCACAGCAAATGTAATAAAGCATCCGTAAATGTAGATCTGGCTTTTTGCCAACATTCAAAGCGTTAGACCGTAGTTGTGAATCATAATTACATATCGTTTGAAACTTGTAAACAATATTCTAAATCTAATACTCAGATCAGTGGCACAGTGGCTAAGCGTTTGACTGTGGCTTTACGAAACTTTGAGTTCGAACTCCACGCGGAAAAATATTTGTATGACTTACAACTAATTGGTCCGATTGTAGTTGTCTGTAATAGAACAGAAAATCTTACTGTGCTGGTTTTGGTTTGACTTGTAGTGCTAGGAGCAGTCGGCAAAACGGTAATATGAAAATTCAGCAAAGTGAATCGTACAAGGCTCCATAGTCACAAGCGTACACTTCCAGCGGGGAAGAGATCTTGACAGATAAGCACAAAAATTAATGGCCGCGGCGTCGATTTCAGTTAAACTTTTCGGAATTACAAACAGTCGATATGGCGCTAGTGTCGCGCATAGAAGTCTTAGCTCATAGAATTAGATGTATGTTCTGACTGAAAACGGTTGATTGCCAATCCGATTAATTTAATTTAATATAGAACGATATGCTATATTCGAAATTGTGTTCCCTTGCAAATACTCAAACATAAAAGAAAATTATAATATATTTTAAAATATTTTGTTTCAGTATAGTAATATTC